GCTTTCACATCAGGCTTGCATCTGGCCCTGCTCGCTCTTCAGAAGGAGAAGATGTATATCAAAACAGCATTTCTATTTTTACCATTCTCAAAAAGGGCAATTTAGTGAGGAATTGAGAGGTAGGATAGAGAAAAGTTCTATCTAAACTTGTTTGCAGGGATCTGCAGCTGGTTAAATCGCAGGTACATCTTCAAAGCTGGAAATCAGTGGGTTCTCATGCAGGTGTTGTCCTCTGCAGTGGGCTGAATTTATTCTATTTATTGCTTTTTGTTTATAAATGGCTACCTCTTTTTGTTCAGTGAACATTTGAAAGAATGCTCTTGATCCTGCAGCATCTCTTCCACACATGCACACCTTCTGCAGTTGTTCCGCTGTCTCGGGGGCAACCTTCACACAGAAGGATGCTGTTCATCTGAAGTCTTTGAAGGAAAGTGCCTCCTGTCACCTCTGCTTAGCTAGAATAAGCTTTCTGGTTCAGCACTGAAATGAAACAGTCTGGAAAAAGAATCTCCCAATAAAATACTCCTCTTAATTTAAAGAAGTAGCACATTTAAAATGGCTAGATCATCTGTGGGAACACACTGGTTTCATCAACATTTTCAAGGAATACAGCTGAACTGTTTTAATCAAGTCAACATTCTTTATGTTATGGCTTTGATTGAAGTAAATCAATCTGAGTATATTGTTTTGCAAAAATGTCAGAATTTATAACTTTTTGGCCCCAAATTGAATTTTGAAATCTTGTTTTGTTCTCCCCACTTCCCTTGCCCGGAGACAGGAATATGATGTTTTTCAGCCAGTGCTAGTTATAATTTTGATGGTTGCTGCTTTTAGCCTTGCATGTCCCGTCACACGGATATTGGTTTCCATCAGCAATGCGAAGCATTCTCCTTTCCTTTTCCATGAAGACGTGTGCCTGTAGTGCATGTGCGTTTGGACTACTTTTTTTTAAGCTGGTTTTCCATGAGGTGTCTTTGCTCTGCCTTGCCTAGGAATCATTTTTAAAGAAGGAACTGAGAAATAAGGAACTCCTTTGTGGTCTGACCATCCTCTATTTACTGCTGATGAACCTCACAGGTTTGCTTCTGTTGACTTTGAGGGACTTAGTCCCAATCCAGAGCACTAGCCCCCCCTTGCATGGGCACTCATGCTTTCTCAGGACGTGCTGTGTGCACAGGACTGAGCAATAGCTCCTTTAATAGCGGTCCAGTACCATGCCCCTGAAGCCAACAGAGTTAGCCCTCAAACCAAAGGTGCGCAGGAAATACAGCACAGCAGGCTGGGAAACTCCACAAAGGGCATAAATCAAAGCCTTCCGGGTCACGAAGTGATGCTTGAGGACTGGGGTGGTTATCTTGCTGTAGAGCTCTGTAAAGCTTTCAATGGAGACTTTAAAAGACCTTTAATTTAGGTGTGTAGGGCTAAATTTGTTGTGACATCCCGCCCAACTGAGCAGTGAAAGTCAATGGCATTGATAAGAGTGGGTGAAGGACAGAGTTGAGTGTAAAAAGACCCGATTCTAATTTCAGTGAAGCCCATCCATATTGTCCCCGTTGTGTAAGAGAATATTAAAGAATGCATTAAAAGAGTTAATGGAATCAAATTACTGCAATAATATCTGCTGGGATTAAACTCCCCTATCCTCCAGAGATAACGTGTTTTTTACCCTCATGGTATGGACACCTTTATTTCCCAGCTCCAGCTTTTGATGCCAGCAACAAGTAATTAGCCGCTGTCTCCAGAGCATTGTTTCGGCATGGGGGAAGGGCATAGATCCAGAGGCAGTTGCACATCAGCTGCGTGGGCTGGCAAGAGCATGCATGCTCTGTTTGGGGGGGATGCATTTTCTCAGTGGGGTTCAATGGTCACGTCTGTGCGCTTCGCTCAAAGCTGTTTTTCTTGAAGTAGAGGCTGTTTCTTTGATATGCAGCTTTATGGGGTGGGGGGGGTGGGAGCGATGGGTGTGGGGAACAGATGGAGAAAGCACAGGGAAAATGCAATGGTTTAAAGGAATAGTGAGAGATAGGGTTTTTTTTGAATCGTTACAGCAGAAACAAGGAGCCTCTGATGAAGACAAGTAAGCCTGAGGATAGGGAAGATCGTGGTGTTATTGACAGAAAAAGGGTTTATAAGGTTTTCAGCCTTATCAGCTGGTGGTTGGAAGCTTGAGAAACCAAATGTTGAGGGATGTGGAAATGATCAAAAGAGAAAGGGTACAGAGGGACTGAATAAGGCATTGAGCGTAACGTGTGAGAGGCAGGGAGCAGGGACAGGGCTTGCTCCGGGAGAGGGGCCACCAGCTCTCTGGGCCTCTCCGTGGGCGAGAGGCAAAGGAGCAAGGGGAGAAACAGAGGAAAAACGGGAGGTGACCTGGACAAGCAAACAAGCCCCTGGACAGAAAGGGGGTGCAGATGAGGAGGGGAGGAGGTAACTGTACAGGGGAGGGTAGTCAAGCAGCTCTGTCCACGAAAACAGGACCGTCCCATGATAGAACCTCAGCTGTGTTTGGACTTCCGGGGATGCTAGATAGAAATTATGACTGGCTTTCTGCTTATTGCTTTGGGATACAAGGTAATTTGGGGGTTTCATGTTGGGAGTTCAAGTTTATGCCTGAGAAGCGAGTGCTTGTTTTGGGAAACCTGGATGTACAAGCAGGGCTGGCAAACACTGTTCACAGGGGTGTCCTGCTTCCACTGTCAGCTTTACCTGACAGATGGTGCTGCACCAGGGCAGCAGTAGCTGACTGTGAGTAGTTGCTGTTTGGATACAAAGTGGGTGATGTGCACAAGCTTGCCCTTCATGTGACCTGCTGGTGCTGATTACCAAGGCGATGCTGTGCCCTACCTTCGTGCATGCAGAGGCTGGCCAAACCTGGGATTGACACCCAAACAGCCTACATCGGGGTCCTGGAGCTTTCTGAGCCTGGGAAGCACCAATGTGGGAGTGGGAGGCATAGGCCACGGCAGGGCTGGGCTCAGCTGCTGCAAGCAGCGCACTGGTAAGCACAGAGTTTGGCCAAGGGACCTACAGGCGCTGAAGCATTAAAGCCAGGAGGTACCAATGGGAGGGGTTGGTGACAAAATCCTGCTGTGGGACCCTTATAGAAGAAGCTTATCTTTAATTGTCTTTCCATTCATTACTTCCCAGCTAAAGCCATGTAATAATTACAAATTTGGATTACCTGGAAAAGCTGCTGGAAGTAGGATAATTTATCAGTTCCCAGGCTGGATTTGGAAGAATTAATTTCAGCACCACACATTGAAAATTATCCTTCACGTGAAAAACCCTAGTTTTGAGAGCAGTTTTGAACAAGTGAGATTCTTCCAAGCCGTTGTTACACTTTCTGACAAGTTTATTTTTCCTTCAATCAGCATCCTTTAGCACACACAACTAAAATACTCAAACTGGTAGGGGAAAACCTACACTTGTAAGAATTGTCTCTCTGTACAACGTACTGAAGTAATTCAAATTCCAGAGCAGAACTGTGGAAATTCGTAGCACAGTTTGTCCGTATCTTATCAGAACAGGCATGCTTTTCCCATGGCCTGGCCACTTTCCAGCAGTGCCGAAGCAGACTTGTTGGAAGCCCAGTTTGAATGGGAGAAGTAATCTTTCTGAATGGAGTTGCTGGCAGGATTCCTGTTGCGTGTGTGGTTTATTGTTCTTGGTGATGTGACTACACTTCACCCCCTAGATAAATGTTTTGGGGTCTTTATTTTTTTGATGATGGGAGGGGTTCTGGAAAAATAATTAGATAGCTAATTCTGTAAAATTCTATAGGCAGATTTTTTTTCTGTTTGAACTACTTTTCCGTGTTAATAATGTAGCTTTTTGAGCATGCTTTTGATGTAAAGGACAACAGCTGATTTACTTTAACTCCTAAGCTTTTCTATGGTCAAAGGGTTTAGTAATCAATAAGCAAACAATTTTCTTTTCCTCAACACATTTTAACAGTGTTATTATGCCAAAACACTTTTTTATATATATGCCAAATACTTTTTTATATATATTTTTTTTTTTCCTGTTCATAGTGTAGTAATTCACGATAAAGTATTATTGGTGTTGTCAAAAATAAAAGTGGTTGCCAATGGTGGCGTATCCTCAGTTGGTGTAAAGGTCCACTACAGTGGTAGCTCTAGCGGAGTCAGAGTCAATCCTCCTGTGCACTGCAGGCCTGCTGTGGAGCTGTGCCAATTGCTCTGAGCTGGGGATCCAGCCTCTAATATGTATTACAGGATAGCTAATATGATGTTTAACCACACAGTAACCACAATACACAAAGAAGTTCTATTTTAGCACTGCTGAAGCAAAAAAATAACTGTTAATGCTGAAGACTGAAGGGCAAAAGATTGCTAAGTGGGGGAAGGAGACTGAAAAAAACCTCCTCTGATTTTGAGTTACGTGTGAACAAATTCTCATGTCTCAAGGCTAAGTTTTGTCTAAGAAAGATCTTTAAGATTTGGGTCTTTGTAATTAAAAAATAAAGAATAACTATCTTAAACTTATATCTGCAGAGGAAGAACTGTGTATTTACTTACTATTTGCCAAAAAATCTTTCTCTTTTTAGCTAGAAAGATTAACAAAAAGGCATTGAAGTATAAAGGCCTTCTCTTTATTGATATAAATATATGTTTTGTGAACAGATTCAAAAGAGAACAGTCACAACCTTTTTTCTTTCTTTCTTTCTCAAAATGGGGGGGGAAGGGAAGCATGCAACTCCAAACTTAGTGCCTACAATGCTTGGAAGACTTTATGATTAATTTCGTACTTAGGTTTCCAGATGTTGGATTTTGTCCCAACTTTTAAAGACCTCTAATGTTTAACAGGATATGTGCTGAGTATAGTCTTTAACAGAGTTTTCTTTCATAACTCTAGGATCTATGAGAAAAGGTAACTTGGGAAAACACTGCAGATTCGGAGCTGAATCTACATCCTTCTAGGAAAAAAACCCACATTAAATGTGCAAGTTTGGACTGGAGCTATATTTGTTTGGGAAGACTATGGATAGGTACCAGAGCTGGCAGCAGAGCTGTTTGAATGCCATCCTCCTTGTGCTGCTGTGGACTGGCATTTCCCATGCACAGAGGGACTGCACGGGCACAGAGTGCCAGCCCCTGGACAACTGCATCGAGGATGTGCTGGAGCCTGGCGAGTGCTGTGCTACATGTCTGCAGCATGGCTGCACATGCGAAGGCTACCAGTACTACGACTGCGTCAATGTGGGCTTTATCAATGGCAAAGTACCCGAAGGGCAGTCTTACTTTGTGGACTTTGGAAGCACTGAGTGCTCATGCCCCAAGGGAGGAGGCAAGATCAGCTGCCAGTTCATGCTGTGTCCAGAGCTGCCCCCAAACTGCATCGACGCGGTGGTGCCAGCTGATGGGTGCCCTCAGTGTGGGAGAATAGGTTGCCTCCACGAGGGCCAGAAGTACGTAGCAGGGCACACTTTCCACATGCCCCCCTGCAAGGTTTGCCATTGCCCGAACGCTGGTGGTGAGCTGATGTGCTACCAGCTTCCAGACTGTAACACGTTTGCCTTAAACACAGCAAGCCCAATAGATGCTGAAGATAGCGAGCCAGAGAGGCACTATGACGACCCCTACAGCTATGACCAGGAGGCACCAGAAGGAGACAACACCCAGGTGGAGTCGCCAAAGAAATACAGGACTTATTCGTCCCACCTTGAGCAAGAGAGCATCAGCCAAGAGCAAAGCGAGGATTATGACTACCTACCAGCCAGCATTGCTCCTTCAGTTTTGGCTCCTGCTGATCTGTACACCGAGGAGATGGCTGTGCCACTCACCACGCCAGTGTCTAAGGTCCCCTCTGAAATTCGCAGTGCCACAGAAAGAAGTGAACGGAAGAGGGTGCCCCGCACCACTGCAGCATCCCTTCAGCAAGTGACGCATAAGGAAACACCAGTGACCACCAGTGCCCCTCCAGAGCACACAACGGCCACCACTGAGGCACCCAAACCCCTGGAGGAGTTGGAGAGGAGACCAAAGGGGAAGCAAGGGGACAAAGAGAGGCATGAGCAAGAAAAAGCCCCCCACTCTAAAATGAAAAAGACTGCCAGAAAAGAAGAGCCTGGGAACAGCATGTATCTAGGCTTGAAAGAGGTGAATTTAACAGAGCCGAGCTGGTCAAAATCTTCCCATGAAACGCATGAGGGAAGTGCTTTCCCCAAGGTAAAGTTCAGTGCAACAGCCTCTCCTCCTGTGGCTCTAAAGGAAGACCATAGTCAGTCATCCCAAAAACAGTCACAGACGCTTTATCGTTACCATCCCGAGGAAGATGGGGACCCCAACTCTATTCATGCTAACCCCAGGTTACCAGAAGGTAAGAACAGTTCCAGTGTAGATGCCTAGAGAGCATTTACTCATAACAATGTTGGTGCATATCCACTGTTCTTTTCTTCTTACTGCTCCACATGGGCATGAAGTCAAGCAAACCTCCAGTTACCTTATTTCATCTCTTTGAGAAGATGGTTTGTGCTTCATTTGACATAATAGATACCATTTCACTATTGCCTACCTTGCTTTGATTTTGCAGACTGTCGATGGTGTTTTCCGGTATTTTAACTTTATTTCAGATGATGACTTGTTAAACTCTGACCTTTTCCTTCCATTACTTGCTTTTAATTTCTAGTGTGATGTTAGAGAATCATCTTACTCTACACAGAAGGATTTAATTAGTTATCTGCTTGGATCCTGCAGTTACCAACTGAACATAATCACATTTGTAACTTTTTGTCTTTTGCTGGGGAGGAAGTGAAATGGTTGCGCTTCTACTATGAAAATATTTACTGCACTTGTAACATTTATCCTATGGCTGAAAGGCTGTCTGAGCTCATTAGCACAAGAACTTGATAGATACACTCAAATACCCCTGAGGACTAGCAAGGAGGAAAAGGACTGCCTCCTTGCTTTGTGTTTTTTGGGGGCTGGAAGTTTATGATCAACTGTGGCAAGTACACATATTTCCTCTCTGCCTCTGGATTACTCTTGACATCTGCAGTGAATGTTGATTATATGCTTTATGCAGTGCTCATTACTCTAATGAATGCAAACTTCATCACTATAAATTAGCACATATACAGCTCATATTTCCAATTCATTTTTCATCAAATCAAGAACAATATCTCCTTTTTCAAGATGTGGCACAAAATGTTCTTGTGAGACTCAGATGTATAATACTTGCAGTCTGAGTGGAGAATACTGATTACTCCCAAGACAGTGATATTTCTTCCTGGGTTATCTAGATAGCCCTTAAACATCTTGAGCTGCCCAGTCCGTCTACTCAAGAAGTTGAAGAGAGAGAGGAGGAGAGCAGATTTGGAGCTGAGGCTCTAGGTGCCGACACAAGCAGCACCTCATGACTGCTTACCAAACAAAAGATGTACGAGGTCCGTGAATGGAGATGGTAGCCTTTTTCTTTCACTTCCACTTATGTTTTTATCATAAATGTTGACCTCACAATTAGTGATAGCAGCTATAATCTGAATCAGACCTCGACTTCTTGATTCCGCCAAAACCAGTCTTACCTGAAGACCCCCAGTGTGTTGCAGGAGTATGCCAGGCAGCAGTGTTTGAATGCAATGCCTTGAAGTGGAAAGACGTTAGCTGAGCACACATACCATCTGGAGGGGTGCCATTAGGAAGTGCAGGCTTTCAAAAGTGATTTTGAAGATAGTCTCCTCTAAGCCTTTCCTCTGTGCTACCTTCTCTTCATGGATGCGTGTTGTATTTTACTTCTAGCTCCATTTGTTATGTGAAAGATGAATCAAACGGGGGTGACTGGCAGAGTAGGGAACTGATTCCAGCCTTCCAGTTTGTGTAACCTGAGTAAGAGGATCTGTCTGTAACGCCTTCATCTGCTCTGTGCAAATGCAAGTGGCAAAAAGCGTCTGCCTGTATGGTGCACTGAGTTAATCTGTAGTCAGATTTTACTCTGCTTAGTATTACCATGCATCTTAAACACCACACTCTTCCCTTGTATTTGTTGCAGCCTACTATAAAGTATGATCTGAGCTGTGCATCGAGGCTGTGCATAATACATGGGTCTGAGTTAGGGCTAATATGCAATAACTTGTTTTCTGATATAACTTAAAAACAACCTATTTAAAATGAAACTGCCTTTTTTTCCTCTCAGAAAGGAAAGATGGATGGACCATCCTGAAATTTTCAGCTAGAGGGTTTAAGAAAGCCTATTGGGGTGAAAGTGTTCAGCAGCAGAGCTAACCACTACATTTTAGAGTCTCCTTGGGTGATTTCCAGTCTATGATTCCTGGGAACTGCTTGGGAACATGAGACAGGTCTGGTTGAGGTCTGGATTAGGTCACGATGCCTGTTGGGTAGTAGCAAAATGTGATGGATGTCATGTCAGGCATGAATTGTTTAGCCTACAGAAGCAGGCTTGGAAATCACTGGATGCCATTTTTGCCTTAGTGGAGATATATATATATATATAATTTCCTTTAAATATTGTAGATGTAGAAATGGAAATGAATAGCCTTTGGGAGCACAGCGCTCTCTGTTTGGCTGTAGGCAGTGCAGCCCTGAGGCTGCTAGTTCCTTGTTTGGCCCACAGAGTTGCTGCATGTCCTGGGGGTGATTGCTGGTGATTGCACCCTGAGCATTACCCCGCAGCTGCTGGCAAGTGGAGTCTGGCCAGGCAGCCCCTGTCCCCTGTCCACTCCACCGTTCCCATTAGGAACAGTTGGTGGAAGCAGATCTGCACAGGCTGTAAAGGAACCTTCTCCAAAAATCAGGAATCTCCCTTGACTTGACTAGTGCCAGTGCTCATGCCTGGGGACTGCTGCATTTTCACTTGTTTTGCTGTTTTAATTGATGTGGTTGTGACTCATGTGAGTAGATGCGTATGTTTCAAGTAAATAAACCACATCCATCTTCTGTCTCTTCAGTGACTCCTGAGCCAGTGATCAAGGGTGAGTGAAGACATTAGTCAGACCTGAAAGAAAAATTAATTTTGCCCTCAGATATAGAATGCAAACATAAATTTTGTACATGTATTTCTAACTATAAAATGGCATAATTACCAGAATCGCCAAATAACTTCTTTCCTCCCCTCAAGAATCAGCAGCATGATGTAAACTGCATCAATCCCCTAATTCTTAAAACCTGTGAGGCCGTTTTGCTGTTTCCTAATGAGGCTGCCACTCTTGCAGCGGCCGGTGCTGCACCTCGGGGTGCAGTTGGCCCTTGGAGGCTGCGTGGGGGCGGTTTGGGTCCTCCCCAGCTCCTTGGGGTGCAATGTGAGCCAGCCCTCGTGTGCAGGCACTGAGTTGCTCCTGTCTCAAAACAAGAAGGTGCTCCCAGGCCAGAAGCTGCAGCCTGCCCAGCCCATTTGCTCCCAGAAGCTGTGAGCATAGATTTTGTTTGACTGGCTCTCGGTGGGGTGCTGTGGGGTGCAGAGGCCGTCACTCGCCGCTTGGGGAGGGGGTGTTGGCCTCTATGAATTCTGTGGGGTTGCAGGGGGTTGCAGCAGGCAGGGGAGATGCCTGCAGCCCGAAGTGGCTGTGCCTTCCCAGTACAGAAGGGCTGGATTAGAGGATTGTGTGGAGTTTTTGCACCTAATTGAATTTTCCTGTTTTTCTCATCAGCCTGTGTATGGGGCTGCATTTTCTTTATTTTGGGTTTTTTCTTCCTTGAAGTCATCGATACGGTCATTAACATTTCATCTTAACTGCTTTTTTTTCTGGAACCATACATCAATTTAGGTTCCCGAGTCACTGAGAGATGCATTTTTGTGACTGTAGGGACATTCTAGATTTTTTTTTTTGTCTTTTCTTTTTTCTTCAGAGTTTAGAAAAGTGTTGGATGCTTCACAGAAACATTTGCTGCCACTAAAAATTCAGCCCAAGTTAGATGGCTATTGCATTTGTTCTTCCTATTAGCTGTATTCTGGCACAAGAACTCAGCTGTGGTTGGATCCCTGATGCTTTTGGTTAAAAACTTGGCTTCATTACTTGTATTTTATGTATCTCACCTTGGTTTTATATGTAGCTGAGTTTTCATCTCCCAAATCTCTGATGGCTCATATGTAATCTAATGGTGGAAACAACATGGAGTACTTTGGTGCTCAGGAAAGGTTCATTTTGTGTTTTGATTCCCTCTCTCCTCTTGCACTCCGTTTTTCATCTGTGTTTCAGTATGGCTTGCGAGGCTGGCTGGCGTTGCTTCCCTGCTCGCTGGCAGGCCGGTTGGGCCCCAGGAGAGGTGCCATCCCCCGGCAAGGCTGCCCTGGGGTATGTGCTGAGCTCTGCCCAGCCCGGGGATGGAAATAACTCTGCATCTGAAAAGCTGCCCTTGTTAGACCACAAACATATGCAACGAAATGTAACACTGCACTGTATTTTGCATCAGCCAGCTAAGATGATCTATTTTAGCGTCTTCACTCACGGACTCCAGTGAATTATTGTTTGTTTGGGGAATTTTTCCCCTCTCCTTTTGTGGCTGCTCTGAGCTTTTTTGGACCAGCCATCTTGCTGGTTATCCAGGTGCTGTGTGAGGCCAGGCCCTTACTGGTGGCCCTCTGCGTTGGCAGCAGCGCTCATGGCCCCCAGGAAGGATGCCGGTACTGCTGCCATCACAGAAACGGGCCCTGTTGCAAACCCACTGTTTAAAATGGAGACTTTGGGGAGCTGGTTTCCCCATTTGCAGGGTGGGAAGTGCAGCACCAGCTCTGCAGGGCTGCATGAGCCCAGTGGCTGGTTTTCTGCCTCTGACAGAGGCTGCTTGGGGGGGTTCCGCCACCCTGTGTTCTGTGCCGGCTGTAGTACTCCCTGCTGTGGGAGCATTCATCTTTTACTCCGTGCATGAGCGCACTTCTCATAGACCCTGAATATAGACTAAAGAGCAACCTTCTTCAGCAACACTCAGACCTATTGAAGTTTCTGTGGCAAATGCTAATTACGCCATTCCATAAGGAATTTTAAGTGTAAAGTAGAAGTAATTCCTCAGACGAGAAAGTGTAAATTAAGTACTTTCACCAAGGGAAGGGATGAGACTGATGGAGACTATTCTCTTTAGAGAGTCTCTTTCCAAACATTGATCTTATCCTGTCACTTATTGCAAGAGCAGCAAACAGAGGGAGTTTTAATTTCTGTATTTCCTATTTCCTCATCCTAAAAATGCCCTGAACAGGGGAAGGTTGAATAAGACATCTTTAAAGATCCTTCCGTCAAGCTTCGTTATGATTTTCCCACTTTTTTCCATTTCCCTACGCTCTGTCAGTAGAGCGCTGTTTATTGGATAGATGTAACTCAGGTAGCAAACAGCCTCATTGTGAATGTTTTATGATTTGCATTCTGGTTTTGG